CAAATTTGACCCCTGTGACCTTGAATATAAGTCAAAATCATTCACTTAACAAACATAGTAGTCCTTGTTCCAAGCATGCTACTGACTAAATATCAACATTCTGAGCCTTTTGGTCATTCAGAACAAGTTCTTTAAATATTTTGAACATATTTGCTCCTTGGGACCTTGAATATAATTCAAGGTCATACATTTAAACAAACTTGGTAGCCCTTTATCTCAGCATGCTACTGGCCAAATATCATCACCCTGTGCATTTTGGTTATTCAGAAGAAGTTGTTTAATGTTTTTAAGATATTTGACCCCTGTGAACTTGAATATAGGTGAAGGTCATTCATTTGAACAAACTTGATAGCCCTTTACCCCAACATGCTACTGGCCAAATATCATCACCTTGGGCATTTTGGTTATTGAGAAGAAGTTGTTTAAAGATTTTAACATATTTGACCCCTGTGACCTTGAATATAGGTGAAGGTCATTTATTTGAACAAACTTTGTAGTCCTTTATCTCAGCATGCTACTGACCAAATATCATTACCCTGGGAATTTTGGTGATTCAGAAGAAATTGTTTAAAAGCTTTTAATATATTTGACCCCTGTGACCTTGAATATGGGTGAAGGTCATTCATTTGAACAAACTTTGTAGCCCTTCATCTCAGCATGCTACTGGCCAAATATCATCACCCTGGGCATTTTGGTTATTCAGAAGAAGTTGTTTAAAGGGTTTTTTAAGACAATTGGCCCTGTGACCTTGAATATAATTGAAGGTCATTCATTTGAACAAACGTGGTAGCCCTTCACTCATGCATGCTACTGGCCAAATATCATCTCCCTGGGAAGTTTGGTTATCGAGAAGAAGATGTTTAAATTTTGTAACATATTGGACCCCTGTGACCTTGAATATGGGTGAAGGTCATTCATTTGAACAAACTTGTTAGCCCTTCATCTCAGCATGCTACTGACCAAATATCAGGACCCTGTGCACTTTGGTTATTAAGAAGAAGTTTAAAGTAAAATATTGACGCCGTCGACGGACGGACGACGGACGCCGCGCCACGACATAAGCTCACTTGGCACTTCGTGCCAGGTGAGCTAAAAATTAGAAGAGTGATTCAAAGTAATAACATCAAATGTATAAAGGATTGAAAAAAGTTAAAACAACAATCTCGTAGCACTTCTGAAACAAAATGTATGAGGGGGAAGGATCCTAAGTAATTTTAACATAGCTGGAAATAGCCCCTTTATAAAAAACAAAAAAAAGCCTTAATATACCACAATCGCAAAAAAATCATGAAACCGGATAGTATGCCTACTCCTAACACGGGTGAAAAATCGTGTCGGATGAGAAATGGTGAGAAATCGTGTCGAGGTGAGAAATCGTGTTGCGAACGTAGCAATTTTAAGGTGAGAAATCGTGTCGGGGTGAGAAATCGTGCCGTAACAGACGATCGTATCGGGAGCCAACTCTCTCAGTCGACAAAACAAAAAAATGTTTTTTGGCATACAAAACCAGGAATTACTTCGGTTGATTTGTTTCTATTAAATTATACTACAGCTGGCAAAATGCCAACACTAGATAGCAACAGGCATTAGGCATCGACGCGGTGACACAGCAGGATTGGAGTGCTCACAACAAGTATGTAAAAGCCCGTTACACCTTTCCCCACAACCATTGGCAGTTATTCAGGACCAAAAAGTGGAACGACTATAAAAACGCATGAATGGAAAGCTGAACCAGGGTATAAAACGCTAGTTAAAGACGCGACGATTGACATGTCAATTTTCGGGGAAAAAATTGTCCAATAACGTAAGCCTACACGAATGAGCATCTGGGGAGAATTTCTTGGGAAATCTTTTAATTAGTTAGGATGATCCGAAATAAACATCCCCCCACCCCCACCCCCCACC